TTTTTTTTTTTACAGTGGTGCTGTGAACTGAATTTTTTCTGGGTTCCTACAACATGGAGTGTCAGGGACTTTATTGAAATGTTGTACACAAATTTCATAAAATCCTGAATATATCTAGAAGTCAAGATTAAATGGTTTACAGTATTTTATACCCATTAATAATTGAAATGCAATAATATCACTGCACTAAAAAGACTTCAAACAATTATTATTACTTCTCCATGAGCAGACCAAACTTTACTTGCTCTGAAAACATAGCTTTTACAATTGTTTAAATTAACAGATGTTGTTCTATGTACAATGAATACATTTTAAATAATAAACCTTACTGTGTTAATAAGTTATTAACAAATTGTATTTGACAACATGAGAATGATTCTGATGCCCAGTGATGATGTTCAAACAAACCCAGGTCCTGGTAATATACTAAGACCTGATTAACAAAGAAGTCATGTACATCAAGGTTGACTCAGATTTATGAATGCAGTTTCTTGAGCAAGTATACATGTATGACAAATAGTTTTGTTGCACTTGTGTACTCTGAGATTCTGAACATGGGTCAGTGGAAGTTTTTAGGTGTCAGTACAAAACTAGATCATCGGAAATCACTTTATGATGAGTTGTAACCACAAAGAGTACATATTTATTCACCTGTTTGCAGATGTTCTTTGTACAACTTTATAATCAAATAACGGGGACTGTGACATTTTGTGTCTTGTTGTTGATATTACAGTGGGCATAAACAAGATTCATACAGGTAGTTAGCAAACTCCTGAGGAAAGTACCTATGAACATTAATATAGAGCGAGGAACTTTCCTATTGGCGTTATTAAATGATCTATTGTTATGAAAACAATTTGCTACATTTTGTAAAAAACTCATTTTCTTCGGCACCACTTGATTTTGGACTAATTACTGTAATTTTTGTCTAGGTAAGTACTATAGCTGAATTGATGTTAGTTTTCATATTGTAACATTGTTGTGACTATACAAGGGAAGTTTATGGGGTTATGGAAGCAGGAAAGTTATCCCTACAAATTTTGTTCGCACTCGCTGTAATATTGCATTGTACAATGTGAGAAAAAATAAATAAATACAAAAATAAATGCATTACAGGGGTTTTCTAGATAAAAAAATTTAAGAGGGAGCACACCCCTGAAGAGAGTAATTTTAAGTCCTGAAACCTCAGAAATTAAGACATTATGAACTGTTGAGCATTTCGGTAAGCAGACGCAAGCCTTCATATGAGAGGCTGCACCCCTGTTTC